TGGGTGCGGCGCAAGCTTCACGAATATAAAGACCATCGCATCTACTTCTGAGCTATTGACAGGGGGGGTCTGTCAAGTCATACTCTGGACTCGGCGGGACATTCACCAGACCAAATAAATCTGGCTCGGCAGATATCGACAAAAACAATTATGTCCTTCGGTAATGTCGGTTGGAAAGGCAATCGTTTGTGGTTGAGGGTAATTTCAGCAAAAGAATATAACAACGCTGTGCGTGGTGCTATTCTGGAGATCCTCCTTATAGTCATTGAACAGTCCTTCGCTAGTAACAAGAATGCCACTAAGAATTAATAAACACTATCTGTTACTAATATCTCCATATTGCCACTATCGGGCTGGTATTATAGTGGAGTCATGCATAACATGTATTGCCGCTGTACACATAGGCCATGTCATCGACTAGGGTGTATGCAGTTGACTTGAGGTTTCTCGGGCTGCTGGTATCGTTCCCGAGCTCGTTTGTAGATAACTGATTGCTAACCAAGATAGTTGTCCGACAGATTTCAATCATGACGTGATTTTTCAGGTGTAGCAGTCATACAAGGGCTATTGTTTCCTGTGGCATTGGACCAAGGTGCCAAGTACCCTGGACTCCCCAGACTGCTTTATTGATTAAACTCGCCTGACTATACAACATGGCACCGACACCAGTTGCACTAGCGGTGGTGGGTTGCCTATTTCCTTCAACGCTATAAAGAAAAGCATAATATATTTTTAAGTGGCAGGTGTATGGCATAACTAGTTACTTGGAATCTGGCACAAGAATCTGGTGACCAGGACAGTGAGTGATAAGGAGAGAAACGCTTTTTGCCGAACATGGAAAGCCTAATCCTAACCCAGGAACTTTCATCTTCAATTTCCTCCATCGGACTATTTTGGGAGAGGGCTTTGCAGGCTTGTTTTGTATTGAGGCCTTGTCCAACGATCTTCTTGGCGTCAAGGAACCAAGTGATGAAGAAGTGAAAGAAGTTGTATCTACATGTTCCAATTAATTGCTGGGCATGAAAGTAGCAGGCTTACTTCGGGTGTGTGACAACGCTCAGTTCGACGAGTTAGGATTCATAACATAGTAGCCATACAAATAGAAGCAGAACACAATAGACCAAGGTATATTCTAGGTAATATTCCATTCTAGACCGGTACAGTTTCACTGTCAAATCGTCATAGAATGGTCTGTGTGTTGGGCCTTTGGCCGACCAACCCGTTCTTACAGGTAATATCGTTACGGTAGCATCCAATATCGGAATATCATATTACAGAAATGAGTTCTATATTATAAAGCAAAGACTTAGCCTTATTTCTCAAAACATTCTGTCATTCCTCTGGAGATATGTTAAGCTCCCTTGGTAGATATTTCATCACATCATTACAAGTCCCCCTACCCTGGAAGACACACTCTCCACACGCTATGGTCATAGAACGATGGAGAAAAGGAAGTATGGCGAGGAGACTTGAACACAGGCTTTCCTGTAAGCAAGAAAGATAAACTATTCCACACCCCAAGTAGCAACTAACGTTATTGTTTGGGTAACGGCATGTTTGTCGTCAATACGAAGAGACGTAAATGCGGCCGGGTTGGGAAGCAACAATGAGAGACAAAGAGCAGTACCTTTGGAATAGTTACGCAAAGGAATAATGGATAGCCAAAATGGTTACCGGGGTGATCACTAAATCTATCAGGTAGGGTAGAGAGGGGTCAAGCTGAAACGTACCGCATGAAGTGCGTTACGTATAGAATAATATTTGCCACTGGCAGTAGCAAGACTACAGTGAGGCATTTTTGCCTGGACTGGATGTGATTAACAAGCTGTAGTTCAGCTAGTTAATCTATTCTGCAGCTGAAAAACTCATCACATGTATCTTGCATGCATAGCTTGGCGTTGAGATGAGGGGCAGCTGGGCTTACCATTCTTTTGAATTGGCGCTGAAGTGAGACAGACAGACGATCACGATGTTGTTGCACTTACAGTGTGGCCAGGGAGTCGTTGTGTCTGCTATTCGTCGCAATCCATCCACCTCGTTATGCATTCATTGTCCATTCGATAGTCTATTTCCATTAATTCCAGGCCCAAGAGCCTTCCTGTGAGATGCGCTTGGACAGCCATCCACCTCCGAGTTGCATGCTTACATCCGCAGTCCCAGCTCGAAACAGTTCGCGACTCGATGGGTTTCATCACAGACAATTGGAGATGATATCGAATGAGCTTAAGATGCGATCCCTCGGGAAGCCAATCTTTATCAGTGTATGCCGTGCATGGAATAGTGGATAAACCGGGATATCCCGCTTCAACACGCAGGATAATGTAATGTCTCTCCATGAGAGCCTCGATTATATGACCTCTGCTGCCTATGAGGTGGAGACAACTGTCTTCGGCTGCAGCGGAGCCTTTGCCTTATGTGACACATCTTTATGAGCGTCGTCAGTACAGACTTGGCTGCAGGTAACTTTTAGATTTAGAGATTGGTTACCTTGAGATGTCTCGGTGGAATTCTACTACCTTCATCCGCCTGCCCAGCTGCCCCTTTGCCTGTGTGATTTTATTCGCTCAAGGATAGGCAGTTATCACTATTGCTCAGCCAGCCACACCATCCTGCATCGGCGTTTCCGTGTCTATCATGGTGGAATACATCATGCTGGAAACGGGGCACGAGGAGGACTTGGCTGAGGAGGTTCGGATGAGCAGGACTCATGCCGATAGAAGGCTATAAATACATGCCTGCCAACGTACTGAACTCCATCCTACAACTACCTTTCTTCGTCACCCTTGCTCAAACAGCCCATATTCACTGCCGATCCATAATCCTAGCCCTCCACTCCCCTCCCACAGCAACATGTCAGACCTCTATATTCCTCCCAATGGCTTCCGATTCCGCCTCATCAACAAGCATACGAACAAAGTCATGTCTGCCAAGGATGACGTTCTCAACGACTACAGCGGAGGGGTAATATACGATGACCAATGGTTCACTCTTGAGGATTCTGAGGAGGAAAACAAATACTATATCAAAAGCACCTACGGTCCCAATGGTGGAAAGGTGATCTATTCAAAGGACGCGGGGGTTGGGATTTACGATAAAGGATACGAGGACCAGCGCATGGCACTTGAGCCTGGCACAGGTGATCAGTTGGGTAGTTTTCGGATTCGCAATGACTACTCCACGACGGTCATAGTCTCCAATACCAACAAGGACTTAAGTAACTATGGTGCCAATAATGTGGAGTACCCTGATCAGTACTGGATGTTTCTGTTTGAGGATACCGAGATTGACCGTGTCGAGTATCACATTGACCAGGGCACCATATCTGGGACGGGGCCTGTGCCAAACGTCATGAGTATAATGCTGCGCAACGAAGATATTCTGCAAGCGACTGTCAAAGGGCATCTGGGCGACAAGTTTGGTGAAACCAGCTCCTTTACATATTCGGTTGGCTTTACGATTACCATTGGTGCGAAGGCTAGCTTTGGGGTTCCTGGAGTTGCATCTGGAGAGATCACCACGGAATATAGTGTCGTAAACGATTTCGAGTGGGGAAAGACTACCACCCGGGAGACAGACGTTGGCGCAGACGTTGAGGCCCCGGTTCCAGGCCGTATGAAAAAGGAGGTAGTGGGATCAGTCAATCGAAGCACCCTTACTGTTCCTTGTACTGTTTACTCCAAGTCGAAAAAGACGGGGGTTGAGGTCAAAACTGAAGCTGTGTACGCGGGCACACCTGTCTGGGGATTTGTCTACACGATTAAAGCGGCAGAGCCCATTGATTAATCTTGATTAAGCTCTTCCCTCGTTCATGGGGGGGGGGGGGGGGGGCAGTATCGAGGTCTACTCTTTCGATTCATGCCGCCCTGTTCTGTTTTCTTTATAACACAGTCGCTAATCGAGTGACCTGTATCGATTCCTATTCAACATAGTATATCTTAACAAATGAAATGTCCCCCCGCGGGCAAGGCTCGGACGCGAAGTGGATAGATCGTGATTTGGATTCTGAAAAACAGAGAAATGTACTAGTCAGGATAGCCTTTACCAAAATATGAAGCTATGCTATACTCAATTCAGTACAGCCTTTTCTATTTACGCTTCCAGACGCCTTGCATCTACCCCCAGGGTCACGTCCTCGGTCGGGCATGTATTGTGGCGTGCACCAGCGGATAAATAATGATATAACCCCCGGATATCAACATCAGATATGAGGATGGAGACACCGTCCACCGACAGAGACTGCGTACCGGGCTTTTTTATTTGCCCATAACTTGTAAGGCCACAGATTAACCACTTGTCAGTTCTATCCTTACAGCCAATTCATACATGTAGGTATTGAAGAACATCCTTGTGTGCTCAAACCTGGAGTGGATTGCCATTGTCGTCGCTCACATCACCGCCAAACCCTTGAATATCTCTTTTGATGACCACATCTTGAACCGATTGGCTCTCCGCTCGGAATTAAACGTCATGCGTTACTAAGACTGGTGATGCTGGGTAGTTCGGCAATATTAGAGGCAATTGTGATAAGCTCGAACTATACATCTCTGGGAACAGCCAATCGACCTAGGCTAAACCAGTAGCAGAGAATTTAACAATGTTAATCAACAATAGAATTTATCCTACGGCAAGACAGAGGATCCTCAGGGTAAAACTGTGGTGGGCACGTTCCAACATCATATTCGAGAAATGCCATCATCGAGACGGCACATTGCCTCGTCTAAATTATTGGTCATTCCTCTTTTATAAATTCCAACGAACCAGAAGCAGTGCCAGGGGTCCTCACGCATGCTCACAATCGCACTCTTGGGTCCGTCGGCCGGTGTTGTCTTTAACATACTTAGGTAGTCATGAATATGGCCCTTTCCAGAGATACTTGCTCTTTCTCCTTTACCACGTATCCAATTTGTAATTCAACCCCCGCCCCAATTTATCAAAGGATAAAGCTGATAATATAGCATTCTGAGCTTTAATGTATAAGACATAAGCTTGATCCAAAACAATTAACTCAGTAATCCATGAGCGAGTGGGTTGGCCAATTTCGAAGTTGCCAGCACATAAATAAGAAAAGAATTAAAGAGTCCCTGCGAAACACCCCCAGTAATCGTGATCATACCTAAGGTGCCCTCAGAACAGCCCAAGACATCACGAGCAACATACAAGACAAGCACACTCCACATGGGTGCGCTCAGAAGCCCGTTTTGGTAAGTTATCCACGCCGTATAGGATCCCATGTCTCCTCGACGCTTTGCAGCACGGGCGAATGCAGCGAACAACACTATATAACAGGCTACTTGGGGGCCCACTGCTAACAGAAAAGCATTTGGAGAAGGTCCTCCGTTGAAGCTTGGACCCTTGACTATCTGAAACAGAAGGCCGAGTATCCCGCCTGCTATGACTGCCAGGCGCAACTTCGAGCTGATCAAGATGGAATTGGAGGGGCGTGTATGCCGGTGACGAAGGTAGAATATCGAGACAGCGACCAAGAATGGCCCACTGAATATAGAAGAATACAGGTTGACGATATATTTTGTCTCGCCCCAGAGTCGGCCCAGTATCACCCACGCCACTCTTAGAACTGGTGCTGACAGCATCAATGCATAATTCAGGACCATGAATTCTCGGTGAGAGCTGATATCGTGATTCCAAATGGCATAGATTGCAAGAGCAAGCGTCGCCATGAGACCAACTGACAATGCTGATAGCAGATATGCAAAGGGGTCCCCGGAGAAAACCTCTTTCTTGGGCATAGCATCCGCTAAGAATACCCTTGAAGACCACGAGATGATCAGAGCGCAAAGGAGATATAGTCTCCCGATAAACCGATGAATCGCAGGGTATTTAAACTGCAGAGTCGGGTTAAACTGGGCCAGACCAAGGACGATGGCTATAGAACCAGCAATTGTGTGAGAGAACATCGCAGTGAAGTTGCGCAGAAATATTCGCATCTGACCCCCGTTGGTATCGGATAAAGTGGCCGAGCCCTCCCCATACGCAAACTCAGGAGATACCAGGACGGCTAAAACTTTGTCGCTCAGGTTGGATGAATGTGTCTCATCAAAGAAGTATGTGAATGACAACGGCGCAAAAAAGATCACCATCAAAGCCACCGACACTTGCACAGTGCTCTTGTACAAATGACCGAGGTCTTTATTCGATCTCTTCTGGGGTTGGTTACGCTGTCCCATCGTGTCGGTGTTTGGCATCTGACCTCTAACCAGGCTTGTTGACGACATCTTGAGCAGTACTAATCAGTCAAAGAGAATTAATGAAATGTCCAACCGGGAACTGGCTTGCCTTATATCATCTCATGCGGGACAGGAGGACCTTTCAGTAGGATTAACCAAATGCATGACCTTCAGTTCAGTCCAGTGTTATCTGTGATCGTTGCCACTCCCAGGATGTTACCACTATTCCGAATACGGACCCTCTTGCGAGCCTCGGGCCATTGCAGACACCATGAAATCTTCCCATTTGACGCAGCAAATGCCGACTATTTCTCCAATATAGTCGCCTACAAGCAACCTGGCAGCTCTCCACTGGTTATTGTCTGCAGGCGAACTGTCTGGACAATTACCAACAGAATAATTGCGCTTGTGGATCAATCATCCTGGCAACCTAATTCGGGCATTGCAACTGTTTGCTATAGAACATGACGATTACTATATCGTGCTGGCACCAGTCAGTGCGATCCCACTGCCAACAGTGGATTCTAGATATTACACTTTGTCCTCTACTGGCCTCATTCTCACGCTGAAATCGCTTTCAGCCTTCCTGGATAGCAGAGTTCCATAATGCTTTCACGCAGAGCCGTTTCCTTTCGTTTTCAAACCCGTTGCACACTGTAAGTGGTGTGAGCTTGGCTGGTTATTTGCAGTGTAGAAAACTCGTGTAGGGGCATGGTAAGTCTGTATACGCTTCGAGGATGTTGGTTTGGGATAGGCTAATGTCGGCATTCACCATTCACCGGCCAGAGGCCACAGAATTATGATCAGAAATATGTAGTAACCCCGTTCTTGAATGGCCACCACGTTCGGCTGATCTCGACCGAGGTCCTTTTTGCACTATATACGCAGTGTGACAATATCGGGGTCTGGACTGCGATATTCGCGAGGTATGGCTGATCAACGATAGACAGAACGTGTACAAGGGTGGAAGAGTTGTTACCGTGCAATCTGCTGTCGAATTTGAATCGCTACTGTCATTGCCCGAGTAGAACATGTCGAATAATGTAGTTCAACGCCAGGTCTGGTTCTTGGTCAACGAAGATCATTCCGCCAATTGTTGGCAATGAACAGTGTTGGCTCGATGCAACCCTTCCCCACAGTTGCGGAACCGCGAAACATTGAGGGACCATTGACATTCCCCTCGTGGCCCTGGTATCCTCCCGCCATAGACATTGGCCGCAAACTGCCAAGATCTGGGGACGTCCGCCGTATCTGTCTCCGAATTACACCCGATGCTCCCGGGGAGCGAATGGCCGAGGGCGTGCTCATGATTCATGTCCCTACTGGGGACAAAAGCATGAGGATTGCCACAGTACCCTCTGAGGAGATACCAGGGGCTGACAGAACTCGAACTATGCGAATATTCGACATGGCTGTTCCAGAATTCCAACGTCGTATGGACGTGAAAATTGCATCATATTCAAAACAGTTTATATATGAATGGCTTTAGCCGTCTGCAATCTTTACCTTGGACTGGCCGGTGTGCATTGTAATCGTCCAGGATTATCTGCAGGCCAATCGCCTGAACTTCATAAGGGATGAAACAACAGTATCTTGAGTCAGTGGGCAAAACTCAAACCACTGGAGTGAATGAGGTAGGTGGATATACGATTTGTATTATCCTCGGCTGGCCGAGTGAGAGACTTCAATTGATACAAATGGTGGGGGAATCCCGGTTCTCGGAGGAATTCAAGCCCCGCCAATGCCGCTTCTGGTTTCGATACCTCATGCGAACAAGAATCATCCCTCGCTGCTCTAAGCTCCCCCCGCTTCCTTAACTTCTTCCAAGTTCCTCCCCTATTCTACTAGTACTCTACCGATGACAGGACCTCTTCTTAGAAATATTACTAAGAATGTTCATAGCACTCTGAATTTCAAGATATCTCCAGCTTGTTGATGCGTCGAAGGTTATTCAGCTTGCAGAGTATTTCAAATATCCGATCTCTTGACATCTCCTATCGAACCATTTCGTCAATATTGGAGCAAATAGACATGTATTGTCTATACCTCTAGGTCTTGTGACTATCTTAAAAGTCTATATACTGCTCTCCAAAAATATTGTAGGAATATAAAAATCTAGTAATACTTTACTGCGGTTACCACTTGGCACTAGATATGTAGTTGGTCCGAATTCCACGGATATCGCGAATAGTACGATAGACTGGATTATCCAAGAATACAGCCTTTAACAGTAATGTGATAGCTTATTTATTATTGTAATTATTGTTTCAGTGGACAGTAGAACTGTGTACCGAGAGAATTATACTAATAAGATCTTTATTCAAAAGTGCTGTACTTCTGACTTTGTTCATTAGACTAAGGTAGATAGCTGTGTAGGTAAATAAAAAAGATATAGTTATTTCAGAATATTATTATAGTCTTGCGTTTCTATACTTTAACAACAGGATCTTATATAATAAGAGATATCAGAATTGTCTCGAGAAATTCGATATCGAAAATCCGATTTTTCTTTAATACAGTATTCCATAGAGTATTATTGTTACCGAGGATCTTTTCTTGGCTGATTATAATATCCTTCCTGACAAGTAGATTTTTCTGTGCGGGGTTGGTTGTGGTAAGAATATTAGCTAGTGCAGCGATGGGATTCAATTTTGAGATCATAAAAGTACTGCCGGCCTTTTTAGCTCACCCACACTCACCCTACAACTTAGCGGCGCTCACCAATAAAGCAGCAACCCCTAAATGGCTCGCTTTTCAGTCGGCCGCGCTCAACATGTGGCTTAAGTACGGCTGAGGGGACGGGAAGCCCTGTTCTCCACAACCTATGGTCGTATGTTAGTTTAGGGCACCTTGTCATATCTTATAACCACAGCTCCTACTTCAGTACTGGTCCGACAATATCGTACAATGGAGACAGGCTCTCCGCGCGGTTACTCCGTACCACACTGCTTGGTGTTTGAACAAGGATAGCCCAGTTGAATTCACAAGTAGTGATAGTATAATAACGTAGAAAGCCTCGCGAAATATACAATGGCATCAACAAACCCTGGTGTATACTGGATCCCTCGGGGGGCTCCCGGTGACACACATATCGTACGCACTAGTCATTGTAAAACCCCGGGTGTAGCGAGACCCAGGCTTTGTGCACCGTGTCCCTCTAGTTCGGAGGCTGCAAGATTGGCCACCCTTAATTACACAGGATCAACATACCTCAATTTTGACAATCTCTGCAGACGGCATTTCGATCCACCCGTCGGTCTGCATGGAAAAAGGGTTGTACAGTTAGATATCTAGACAGTCGCTTATGTAGCAACTCGGTCATGCTCTCCGCAATCCTTGCATCTCATCTTCCGTGGAACAAGCTCTGTATAGTAAACACCACTCTCTCTTGCCATATAAAAGTCTCTTCCCATCTGCTGTTTTTGGTCAGTCTAAGTTCAACAACATCAAAGCTTACTCACAATTCACGAAGACTGCATCTTTCTGAGTTAATCCTACCCGTCTTCCAGTTGCAACACCCCCCTCAAAATTTCCAATATGAAGCTTTCCACCATCATCCTTGTGACATCCTCAGTTCTTCTCTCTGGTGCAGCTGCCACCCCATGTGATTCTGCTGAGATCTGTCGGAGACAATGCTGGCGCAACCAGCGTCAATGCGAAAAGGGCTGGGTAAGTTATCCAGCGTCACCAATATCCCAACTCATGGGCACACTAACTCTTATGCGACAGTACGCCAAGAAGCTGAGAAATGTAAGTATTTGAAGTTAAAATATCGTAGCTTCCATGTTCCTTATTAATGCGATATACTAGAAATGTTGGACTTGCTGCCGGAAGAGCAAAGTCGACTATGTTGACGACGACTACGATCATGATTATGATTATGAGGAGTTTGACTGGGTGTAACCTATGAGTCTTTGGACGCAAATGCAAGGTAATTGGGGATTCCGGAATAGAGCCGGACAACAATCTGGAACCAGGCTCTTTTCTATCTTCGTGTCATGTCAAGTACGAGGTGAAGACTGAATGTACGGAGTCATTGTAATCGCAGGATCTAATGAAATATCAGTAATTGACATGAAGCTCCTGTAGGAAGGCCTTTTGTCATTTCGGTGTTAATTTCGGTGTTCCCGCATACTATGGCAGTCTACAGTATATCATATAGTATGTATTATATATATCTTGTTAGGACCTGTGTACTACCTCTTGGTGTAGATATCTTTATCTCATCTTTTGCTGGTGTCTACTTATGGTCCCAGTTATACAACGCGACAAGTATATCTCTGCTCACTAAGTAGTGGTTGGTCAGTGGTATGGTGTTAACACTGAATGTGTTTGATATTACGGTCTTGCTAATATTGAGTTCTCTCGATAGTATTACTATCGTAATATATTGCTTATCCTAACACTCATGTATCTGAACCTTATAGGTCCTGTATTATTCTACCAGACAGAAATTATAATCGAGGCAGGCCTAGCCAAGTTGAACTTCTGCCGGGGCATAATATCGCCGTTGAGTGGGAAGACTCACGTTCTGCATTTGTATGTAGCCTACGTTGGAAACGAAATCGAATAAGGACACAAGATAGCATCTGTACTTTACCCCAGAGTCTGGCAGATACATCGTTATGACTTAGATGATCATGTAGAAACCAACGTCCCCCAAATTGACTGCATCACATCATGTTCATAGGGGCCATAGTTGTGTCATTATTGCACCAGTACCTCATGTGGGCCACCTTGACAGGAGACGTAAGAGGCATTCCTAACCCTTAAGATCCACCTTGGCTGTTACCGGCGAACACTTTTGAGGAGGTAGGAGAGGAGAATATTTCCGCAAAGATCCACGCGGGGGTTAGCCAAGAATTTATCCCTTCCCGAGCTCATGCGAAGAATGCTCATAGCTGATGGGACGGTGGGTCCATTATCCTGAGCTATCCTATAGAATGATTGGATGTCTCATTTGCTCAGATGCGCTGTCGTTAGGCCTTGACTGATCGATGTCAATGATGCACGGCAGGTAGCTTATTACTGTACATACCAACCTTATGAGTGTCTCATGGATTTTACCAAAATGGAAAGGTTACATGACCAAAGGTAAAGAAAGAGAAAGAGAAGAAAATGAAAAAAACGAAATCTGGTCTGCAACAATTGAGATTAATATTAAGAGATATTATTTTTAAGTACATCAAACTTCAGTCGCTTGACCACGAAGCCTCCACATCTCCCTGAAAGCCGGGGAAAAACTCCGCCAAGCTGGCTGGGAGGAAAAAAACCCCGCATCAAGGAGAGGTAGGGAGACCCAATACCAAAGGTCGCATTTATTTGAGGAAGCTGCCGATGATGGGAATGTTCTTTGCGAAGCAAGCGATCTCCAGGATTCCTGACAGCTTTCCGTACATACCACCCCGCTGGTAGCGTTCCGCATTCTCCGACAGACAGTTCAGGAGGGTGCAGGTGGTCGAACTATCGTCCTTGCCACTGTTCACCAGGTTGAGGGCATGGGTGGTGCATTGGTACCAGTCCTCTGCTTCTTGTTGCGTGACGATAGAGCCCGCAGCGGCGGAGGAGATCAGGAGTGCGACGGGGACAATGCTGAGCTTCATTTTCTGGGAAGGAAAAGATTAGTTAATGTCTCGATTGAACTTGGGAAGCAAGGGCATACTGCTGAGAGCTTGCCTTAAGCCTGGATGAGGATTCTAATAGAGGTTGCTTTGTGTAGAAGATTGAAGGATGTGTTGGATGTACGTCCAGATGTTGAGTATAGATCGGCCATTATATAGTAACTGTTCCCCTCCTTTCTCCTCTCTAACTACATAACAGATTATGGTTAACTGCGTAGTGTTCTGGATACAATGGTAGTTCCGCAAGCGATCACCATCGACGTTACGTCTTGAAGCCGAACTGTGCGCATCATCGAGCTGGGCGGATATCCAAATTCGGCAGCAGCTGGGATGGTTCTGAGTTTTCGTTTATAGGTAACCATCACTGCAACTATACAGTACCAGAGAACACCTGTAGTAGATACAACAATCTCAGACTTGTCTTTGCAAACGGTGACTCGCTCTCAAATCCTCTTCTCCACCCATTCTCTCTTTGTTGGAGATAACGCCCGTATTTGCAGAGGCAAGCGTTCTGAAAGCGGCCACTCTATGACGCCCTCATGGAAGGAATATTAATGGTTTTATGCGCTACCAGAGGTGGGCAACCCCCAAGAATACATCAAAACGTGGGTCAGGATGATGGGAAACTATTGAGACTCTAGGTTTTGTGAACATGGGACGTTCTGGCCCAAGCTGATATCTGCAATAGCACACCGGAAAGCACGGCCAATACAGAGTGTAGCCTAAAGCAGAGCTGCAGTGGCTGGCGAAGTGTCTCTCGGAATCAGTATGCAACGTGTCATATACGGTAGTTCATGTCTCGTCTCGGCTAGCCACTTTCGCCCTCGCCGGTTTAGGAATGACAGCTATCATATACCTGTCGGAAACACCCGGCCCTTTCAGGAATGGAATGTAAGGGAAATATGTTCCGAATGGTTATTCAATGAAGATATTCAAAGTTCAAAATAACTAGGGGGCGGAGGAGGTATGTGGCCCATTCTGGCATTAGCTAATAACGAACTGGTAATGCGTCTAGGCCGCGATTGTTCTTTTGGACACATCGCCTCTGCATGGAAGGAATTTACCGCACTACCTTCAATGTGGAACCTAACCATTGACTCCGTCAGATGTACACTGATGGGCCTATTCCGAAGGGTGGTGACATCACGGAGGGAAGGCAAGTGTTACCGGTTGCAGTCACCAGGAAGACAAGATTCAACGGTCTATGCAACGACGCAGCGCTCAACCGTCCCAGCTACCATTACAGCAGGAGCATTCTGCGGACTGTTAGAGCTACTTCCATCAATGATGCAAGCAGAGCGGAAACCAAGAGCGAGCGAGACTCTCGCATCGACGGTGTCCCGAAACCGACATGGTTGTCCACGTTATGTTGCAAAAGGCCAAATCCCAATTACCACTAGATGTTACCCATGACCTAAAGATGAATCAGAAACTCTGCAAGCAGACATCCTGACGTAGTAGCACACGTTCCAGAACAGCATCGTGTTTTATCAAAGTCAATCAAGTGTCAGCTATAAATATTCCCAAGTATATCAGTTTTGGTGATAACCATCAGGACTTGCGGTCGATAGTTTTACCTTTTCTCAATTACCAATTCCTTATCTTCGTACAATATGCGAGACGTACAGCCCTTTGTGGGACTGTTGCTGGCGTCCTTGTTCTGCCAAGCCTCTCTAGCGGTAGCGAGAGAGCCTGGTCAGACTGTTCTCCAAGCACCTAGCGTTGGGAGAACACAGGATGGGTTGGTAGCAGATCGTTCCGCCACTACGAGTGAACAGCAACGTCCTTGTCATTGCAATTGCGCTCACCATAATGATAATATAGGTGGAGGGAAATGGTCGTACCACTGGGAGTCATCTGGTGCTCAAGGTGGGCAATCAGGGGCTTGGGACGGCTCCGGCCCTGGTGGACAATCCGGACGGTCTGCTGCTTGGGGCGGCTCTGCCCCTGTTGGCGGCCGCGGCAGTCAGTCTGGTGGACAGACCGGTGCTTGGGATGGCTCTGCCCCAGTTGGTGGTGGTGGACAGTCCGGACAGTCTGGACAATCTGGTGCTTGGGATGGCTCTTCCCCAGTTGGTGGACGCGGTGTACAGAGTGGTGGACAGTCTGGTGCCTGGGATGGCTCTGCCCCTGGTGGACGCGGTGGACAGTCTG